GAAAAAACAGAGATCCTCCACCAAAACACCCCCCCAAACCCCCCGCCCCTTTCCTAAAAAAAAAAAAAAAAAAAAAAACGAAAAAAAAAAAGGTCAAACTTGACAGATTTCTTGGACTGCCATTGTAGTAGTGTAGTATTTTAAACAAGAAGCTGTTCCATATCAGTCAATATATCTTGGTAGTTAGGTGTTTTCAATGAACTCTGTTCATAATTTACACATTTTAATATATTTTTAAAATGATTTTCTGAAGATCTCGTGACCCTGTTTTCAATGAGTGTTTCTGATGCCCAGATAGACCAGTTAAATTATAAAATACAAAAGCTGCTGATCAAGCCAAATAATTTAATGACCTCCCGCTGACAGTTATGTTCTTTGAAGTTAAAACATCAGGTATGAAATGAATCCATCTGCTGTGGGGAACTTCATTTGAATAATCCATCAATTCGACATTTTGTACCTGATTTAAAGTAACTTTCTACATATTGCCTGCTTTAAGGGAAATAGATTACTAGACAGTAACTTATATCAACCTGTAAGAGACTGCTTCTGGTTTGGTGTGATCAGACATCATAGGGGATCAGAAACCAAATAAATGGAAATGGGGCTCCATGCAATGTTTTCAGAAAATATAGTTATATTATACATACATTTTGAGCATTGGAGCTTTTGCAGCTATTTATAATTTCACTAAAACTAAATGGCAGCAGACTGGTATGTAATGGGGGATATCAGTTGCCAAAGGAGATGAGACAATGAAATTGAAAAAACAAATATACTTTTATGATAAAGAAATTTCACAGTTTTCACATCCCTTTTATGTAGCAATGGTTTTACCGGGGTTGTGTTGTTCAAGTTTTAAATAAAACACATGTTTGACTAAGGGAAAATGGTTTGAGAGAAAGTTTAGTTCAGGTCTTCAATATGTTAATAAATGCTTTCTGTTCTTAACAGATGTTGACAAAATCTGTTTTGAACTGGTCTGTGGTCAAAATACTCTTATCTTTTTTTTAATTGCCACTAAATATTTGTACGTTGTGGTATTAGGATAAAATTATAAAATGATTTTTACCATATTGTCCACCCAGACCTCTACAATACATTCACAGTAACTAGCAACACTTTAGTTTTTTTTTTTTTTTTTTTTTTTTTTAGAGTTCAACTGGATTTAAACACACAAGTGCTCCGAGAGCTCTCAGCTCTTGTAAGGCTTCTCATGAACAATTCATAAATACAGACCATTCATTTTTTGCTCTGAGCATAAACACCAAAGTCGTATTCAATTATTGATCGCACACTAGCTGCTTTTCGTCCCAGAAGACTGCGACTGTCAATAGAAATGTAATATCTGTTTTACTCCGACATTCACGTTTGTTTGCCTGTGCTCCATTTGTAAGCCTGATAAACAGTTGCATCAACAGCGAACTCTTTTTTTTTTTTTTTTTCCCCCAACCCCACAGAGACATTAAGGTGGTGTGTTCAATTCATGCTCAAAAAATATTTTTCCTATAATACTACTACTATTATGAATACATTTAATTTAGAAGTGCCTTTCAGAGTACTCAAGGACACCATGCAGATAATACAGAGCAAGAAGAAACAACAACAACACAATAACATATGGTTTCAGATGGCTGAACTCACAGCATGGTTTTATTTAAACCCAAACCCATTTCTTCAATTTTAGAATAATAAGAAAAAAAATAAGCTTTGTGTTTCTTCATTAGAGTTTTGATAGAAAATTTGGCTGCACCAGCAATGTCAAATTTTTGAGCACAGCCAGGTTGTTGCAGGTAAATTTTGGAAAACCATTATATGATTGTTAATTTATTAAACATTTATTCTCTGTTACATATTCTCAGCCAAGACAGAGAAGAGGAGAAAAAAAAAAAAAGCCTTGGGAAATTTTAAAAATAAAACTTATAAAACGTTTTCTCTCTCTAATCAGTTTGATTACCAGGCCAACCAGACACTGTGGTCTAATAAAACCCTTCACACATTGCAAACTCTTTGGAAATTTTAAAAATATTTAGTGTACAGGCAGATTTGGCCACAAAGTGCCATAGTATTTGCCTCATAGGGTTTGTTCTACTGATTCCTTGCCCAATCTGGTTCTTTTAATAGGTTTCACTTCTGCACAAAAACGTTTTCTCACAGTCTCCCAATTTTTTCCATAAATAGGGAAGGTTTATTTCCTTAAACCGTCAGTTTCAGGCAATGCTAAAACTGACAAATAAAATGTAGATCTGAGAATAGATGTGCAGGAAACTTTTTTTCCTCTTCTTGAAGATCTCTGCCTGTTTGTGAGTCTTGAAGAGTGATCTATCATATGCTTAATAAAGGATTAATTTAAGTTTGTGATCCAAGCATACTCATGTTTTCAGTTGGCCATTTTAGCCAACAGCCTGAGCTTCAGCAGTGGGATCTGAAAAACATCTCAAAGTAGGCATGCAGTAGTATTTGACAGTCAGTCTCTGGACAGTCCAGAGCAGCGATCTCGCTTCACAACAGAGATGCAAACAGCACTCCTGCAGATTTAACCAGGCCAAGTAGATCATTGATAGCACTGGCACGTTTATTACTTATTAATACCGACCAGAACCGCAGCAGAAAACGCAGGATAAATAATAGACGCACCAAGATGAACGTAGAGAGAGCGAGAGGGAACAGATTCTGATGAGGTGTGTGAGCAGGAACACAACTTTTAGACATGCACCTTCAATGGTGATGGATTAAAGAAAGGAAACACTGACACACCTGACAAAGATAGAAAAGGCCTTAAAATACACACATTTTACTTCAGCCGTTAATATCACATCGAAAAGTGATGCAGTTTACCAGTTTAATGATGCACAAGGCTGGAGATTATTCTGAGGTTTAGGCTGATCCCATCTTGTGTTTTATACTCTCCGGAGTATCAGAGTATCAGGGGCAACTGGAAAAGAAACAAGCATACAAGCGACCTGTAGCAGTCATCTGACGGAAATTAGGTTTTTTGAGGTAGGTTCATTTCTAAAAAGCTCAATCTTGGTCTTAGTGACCAAAGCACATTGTCCCAGCAACAGCAGAAAATAATATTCTCTGTCATGTCCACCATAAATGAACAGTTGGATTTTAGATGGCAGGATAAATTTGGTCTCTCACCCAGCCTTATTTGTCACAAGCTTATTAGTTCTCTGTTAAAAAAAAAAAAAAAAAAAAAAAAAAAAGTCAAGCTTTATATTCAGACAGAATGGGCATTTAGAGTCCTGCTTACTGATTTTTATCCTTATATGTTGTTGCATGGTTACTATTTCTTCCCTATTCTCTGTGTCATGTTTAGTAAGGTCATGTGCTTCCACCCTTGGTCTGACGTCACCCTCCCTCTGATGAAAAAAGAAGAGATTATCAAGGTGATTGATAAGTGGGCTGAAATTTTAGAGGAACTTGGTGTTACGTATCCATGGGTCCAGGTACGTGAACCTCACACTCCCTTTACTGCTAATTATTTTCTCTCGCCTCATCTAACTTTCTCTGACATTGCAGAGCTGTAAAAAAAGTTCACATCACAAATTTCACAACATTTTCCATTTAGTTATTTTGTATTTTAAAGGCGTCTTCCATTGAAGTTGGTGAAACTTTAATGGTGCTTCTGGGCAAACTCACGTACTCAGAAAGAGAGATGTACGAAAACATGGATTAAGGTGTATAACTACCTGAAAATCACTTCCTCTAGGGAAAAGAAAAAAATCTTTTGTGTGAAAACAATGTTTTTTTTGTTTTTTTTCAAACTTCAGGTGCTGCTATGTTCCAAGAGAATAAATTACTCTCATAAATAATTCGCTTAACCATAGGTGTTTTCACTCACATTCGCATGTCAGCCAACACCGTAAAGAGAAAAAAAATAAATAAATCTTCTCAGAAATATCCAATATGCTCTCGGTTATGGTAATTTAACTTGACAAAAAGAAGCACGTTGTGTCATCTACACCTGAAATATACATGGACTCCCACCTTCTGTCTGCAGATCTTTGAAAATAAGGGAGCAATGATGGGTTGTTCGAATCCGCATCCTCACTGTCAGGTAGGACGAGCACCTAAACACCACGTTCTCACACCGAGTGAATTCTACACACATACACTGCTCAAAAAAATAAAGGGAACACTCAAATAACATATCCTAGATCTGAATGAATGAAATATTCTCATTGAATACTTTGTTCTGTACAAAGTTGAATGTGCTGACAACAAAATCAGACAAAAATCATCAATGGAAATCAAATTTATTAACCAATGGAGGCCTGGATTTGGAGCCACACACAAAATTAAAGTGAAATGTTCCCTTTATTTTTTTGAGCAGTATATTTATCGTTCTGCTTAGTGTGTGATGGTATTGTAAACTGTGTTGCCTACTTACCTTGTCGCGTTTCAGCTGTTTTATGTTTTTTTAAAAAAAAACAAAAAAACACTTGAATACATGTTCAAGTTTACGCTGGCAGCAGTGTTTTGTCGGCAGCCGTGTCTAAAAGTTATAAAGTTAAAAACCCATCTGTCTCACTTGAATGGCTGAGAGAAATGTAACAAGTATTCCTAGACACTGAAACGCATGAAACTGTAATTTGTGAATTACAGTTTTTAAGTCATATTTCAATTATTAGTATGGATGCAAACCATTTTTTTTTCTTTTTTTGGTTTTGCTTATTTTTTATGTGGCATAATTGCTGGAATTGATCATTGCACATGCATCAAAAATTGGATTTTGCCAAAAAAAAAAAAAGTATGAGATTTAGCTGCTGCAATAAAAGCTACACTTATTTTAAAACTTTTTATACATCTCTCACAGAGTTTCCACCAAACTTAGAGCACTTTGCACTTTAATAACTGTTAGAAGAAAAGAAGGCTACCGATTTTACAATATCTTTAAAATTGTAGAATGTTGTAGAATAAGTTAATCCCCCTGATATTGTGCCAGTTACAAAAGGTTTCCTCAGGTCTCCCTGCTCAATATCTACACCTTATGTAGAAACCGAGGCTTATAGATACTTTATAGACAGAATTACATTATTCCTCTCATTCAGTATGTCTTTATAGAAAAATCCTGTCTTCAAGTTCAGACATTCATGAGGGGCAGCTGCTTTCAAAATGCAGAATGAGTTTAAAATGGCATAAAACAACACTTACCACATGCACACACCTTCATCTGCACGGGCCCTAATTTGCAGCTCCTTCACACACACCACTGAAGAATCACAAAAGTGTAAGAACAACACGTCCAGGTTTTGAAGTCAGAAATGTCACAGCGTCGGAGCTGTTAATTGAGTCCTCATCCAGAAATCAGATGCAGCTGTGCAGCTTTGCCACATTATGCGTGAGGGGATATGCATAGTCACACCTATATTACAGCTCCGATGCTTTGCTCGTCTTCATGTTTTTCTCTTCGGTACGGTGATTTAGGAAACTCAATTCAGAGAGAGAGACATTTCTTGTGACGCAGAAAAGTTGCAAAAAGACACATGGAGCAAAAGGATTTAATTTAAAATGTTATATTGTTCACAAAAAAAGTCTGATAAATTAAAGCTCCCTATGAGGATAGTCATACCTGTTGAACTTTTTTTTGTCACATTACATCCCCAAACTTCAGTGTATTTTTTTTTTTTTTTTGGAGATTTTATGTAATAGATAAACACAAAGTTAGGAGTAATTATGAAATGGAAAGAAAGTGATGAATAGTTGCCTGACGACGAACTTGGCATGGAGTGCATTACTCAGAGAAATAACCAAAAAAAAACCATGGGAACACTGAATCAGCTGCAAAGGTCCACAACTGAGGTGGAACAATCTGTCAACAGTTATCCACGCCACACGTCTGCTCTTTGGGTGCCTGGAGAAAGCCATTAGAGGTCCTGTTTCCAGTGTGTCACAAGCCACAACCTTGAAGAAGGTGCCCCGGTCAGTTGTGACCAAATTTGACAACAACCCTAATTAGTGGACCTTGAGACAGGATGGCTGTCAAGCCATCTGTCACAGCCATGTCTATTTGACTTGTTGTTATCCTCTGCTCTTTATAAAGATGTCAGCGCTTGATTTCTTTATGATCTTGAAACACCTCTAAATGTTACAATAAATGAAGGACTCCTGTTAAGATATTATGTGTGTGGTAAGACACAATTATCCCTTCCTGCTTGGTATCCCAGCTGAGATTTGTTATACCCCATGTACATCTTTCCTGTGAAAGCACCCAAGAAAAAGTGTGTGTGTGTGTGTGTGTGTGTGTGTGTGTGTGTGTGTGTGTGTGTGTGTGTGTGTGTGTGTGTGCGTGCGTGTGTGTGTTTGGTGGTTTAGCCTAGTCACTCCTTCACCATTTGCAATTCCAAGAACTAGAAAACACAAACGTTTAACAGCGACACTGGGTTCCTGTTCGAAACAGGATTCCTCCACCATATTTAAAGGTCTTTTACATTAATAAACATCTACAAGAACACAAAGATCAAAGAAACAGCAGCTTTCAGGTCTTCTAAGGTTTAAACTAAAAATTAAAGCTGGTTGTGTCTTTTCTGTTTCTGTTGTCCCATATCTACAATTATTTACCAATCCGCATGAGAGCTGCTTATTGTCTCAAAGCTTTTAAGGTGCTTCAATTTTCCCCTTTAGGCCTTGAATGGAAAAAACCCCAAAACTTTGAGATCATTATTTTTAGTAATGCAATTTTTATATTGTAAAACCTTTATTTTAAAATGCTAAGTTTCTTATTGCACCTATTGAATCTGTGAGAAGACTTGCAATTTTCTGTTGACATATGCTGTGCTCAACCTGAGCTATTTTACAAAGGAGAAATGAAGATGTGGAAAACTAGAGACGCACCCCAAAGGACTTGCAGCTGTAATTTCAGAGAACCATGCTTCTTTAAAGTATTGATTCAGGGGGTGGAATACAAATGCTTTCTTCACTTTTCAGGTTTTGGTGAACATTCCTGACAACCCTCTATCTTCTTTTTCCCTTTAGCTTTGTATTAATGCACTGCTTTTTGTTAACCTTTTACTTTAAATGCTTGAAAAATACAAATTTATAGAATACTGAGTATCAAACATGAGTAGAAAACTGCATACTTGTAAAAGTACATTAGGGTTTCTCTAGAAACACAATGACGAAAACCAGGTCTTCAGTGATCAATAATAAAAAAAAGTTGTCTTCTCATTCCTCATCCTAAAATATCTACTTTCTTCCCAACTTCTGAATGATTCCTATAAATACTTCTGAATGATTCCTATAAATGTAGTTAGATGTGGATGACAAAGACAAACCCAGCAGCCTAAATGAGTCTGTTCCCTAGTTTTGGCAAGATTGTAGAAATTACCACCAGATGGCAGTATGTCACTGGAGAAAAATATGGTTAAATAGATTATAAAGTATAGCTGCAAGGTGAAAATCCTGCCTAATTTTAATTTATAAAGTATACATATCTTTTCATATCAATATTTCATTTTGCCTGGTTTAGTTGTAAGGAATCAATAGCTTCAATTTTTTGTACACCTAGAATACAATTTGGGTCCAGTCTGAGAGAACTCTGAATACATTTATGTAGTTTGGTTTCGTCTTTTAAAATAATGTTACTTCCTTATTATATCGGTCAGCGCATTAAAATCCATGAGTTTGTACAGTCACGTTCCTCCCACCCGCAACCCCATGGTGAAAACCTTAGAAGCATTGATGTAAAACTTTGACTAATGAGAAACAAAAAAAAAAAAAATCTTAATCCTGTTCTGTGGGCGGCATGGCTTCTGATAACTTTGGTCTCACAGGATCAGAGAGGGAGAATGAAAACATATGCTTCTTGAATAGTAATCGCCCTATTTAACTCCAGTAGCCATCAGTGTATATGCGGTTCTCTGTGTAGCGTTGCATTTGCTCACATGAGCAGCAACGTTGAAGTTAACAGACTTACGGAGTTGAAACGTCTATCAAAAGAAATGCCTTTCTCAGAAGTTGCATCTTCTAGTAAAGGATTATATTTTGGGCTCTCTTTGGTGTGTTATCTGGACTTTGCATGATGAAACAACTGTTGTCGGGTAGATGGATAACTGCATGCAAAGACAGAGGTGAACCAATAGCCTCAGGACCAGTTTTAAGAGCCCAATATTCAAATAGTCCTTGTTACACGTGCCTGGAGTCTTATAGCTGGTCAGTGTTTGTGCATTCTACTTACACATCATCTATAGCTGTTTTGTTTTGCCTCTGCATGATCTGGTTCCAAAATCCGCCTTTTGCTAGAACACATTACTTTACACATGTCAACAGTAATTATAGGGAGAATGGAAACATAGCCGGGATAAATGAAAATAATACTCAATTTATATTTTCCGACTTATAATGAATGAGACCGTATATAGGTGGTCTCATTCATTTAGCTAAACATCTAAAACCTGGTTCAAATGCATATGTGAATGGCAAGCAAGACCGAGACAGATGCTAAAGCAGGAAGCCAACTATAGCATAGGGCATTCTGGGTAAGTACAGCCAAAACAAACACGCAAGTCTAGCACTAGTGGGATAAACCGCTCATAGTCTTTTACCAAAGACAAAAGGAAAATCCTTTAACCATTAAAATCTCATGCCACTCCATATTCGTTTACATTTTGTGAGGAAGGAAGTTGCGCTCACTTGTTTCCTTTAGTGGTCTTTGGTGCAGCGCCGTCACTGTCAAGGGGGCAAACCGGTTTTGCTAAGGGTTTAGTTCGTTTGACACAGTACAGTGTGAAAGTGAACTGCACCAGCAGAAAATGTAAAGAATGTTGCAATTTTGGTACTCATTCAAACCATGTCTACTGGACTATCATTTCTGAAATCAAATGTATTCCCCAATTTGATGATGGTAATCCCCTCACAAAGTAGATTACTACTACATCTTTCCTCTATCTAGCTTTCTGCGTATGTCTGCACTGTTTGCCCTTTTGCATAAGTACGAGATTTTAAGTGTGGATTTTAATTTGATTATGTTTTTTTTTTTATTTTAATAACCCTGAATACCTCTTGTTCAAAATTTCATTTTTTTCATTTTCTAAAATATCTTGCAGCCCTGAGTCTGCAGTTGAATCGTGGGGTTGTTTTGTACTGCTTGTCTGCTTTAATTCCCATTAAAATGCCATGAAGCTCAAAACCGAATTGTGCAAATGTCTTCTGTTATGTTCATTGTTGCCCATAAAAAGCTTTGTGAAATGTGATAGAAATATGTTATGAGGGCCAAAGAATGTAGGGGTATAATACAGCCACACCAAAATGCAAAGCAGTGTTTCTGTCTGTAGAGCGAATAGAGCTGAATATTTATTTTTTTTTTCAGATATGTGGCATCTCGTGCTTTGAAGCGTCATGCATAATTTTCTCCAGGGATGCTAAATTGGAGAAATTGCCAGCATCTCATTTAAGGTGAATGCAGTCTGATAAGGAGCACCAGTTGGTGGCTGATGAGAGCAATGCTGGAACAATGTGTTTGTTTCAGTTAGCAATCAGTGTGGCTGATTTAAATGTGTCTTTTGCTTTAGTGTTATCATAACAGATAGGGGCATAACTGTGCGTGTGTGTTTTTTTTTTTTTTGTATGCGAATGAATATGCAGCAATGCTTATGGGATCAGCTTTAAAGAATTAGCTCATTTAGTGATGTGGTTGGTTTTCTCTTCACATGCACAAGTGAACTAAAAATGTATGTAACATATTGGACGCATGTCATATTTCCACATTTAAGTTGTCTTACATCATTGAAAGCGATCGTCCGGACCGAATGTGCGAAGGAGAATACAGAGCTCAATAACAAAGCCTACAGTGTGACAAGAGGTGGGCAGGCAGTCAATACTAATCTGGGAGGAGAGATTCAGAAGCATCTTCAAAAAGACATTCTGGTTGAGGAAATGGGAAGGGAATGGAACAGGGAGGAGCATAATCAGGAGATGTGAAAAGGGTGGCAGACAGGGGGCATTTGAAGGTGGATAAAATGAAGGTGCCATTGGAGGGTATATGTGTTGGAATTCTAATGAGGAACAAAGACCCAGATAACTTTTCCCCCCCTGTGACTACTAATGCAGGGTTTGTAGTAATCTCTTCAGAACTGTAAGAATTCAATTTGTTGTTCAGTGAGACACAGTTGCTATTTTTGCTGATTTGGAACATAAAAATGCTTTTGAGATGGTCTCTGGCATCTTTATAAGGTTTTTTTGCGTTCAGAACAGTCCTCACTTTTTTGGGCAACGATTCAGCAAGATGTCTTTCTTGGTAGTTTTTGGTCAGTTTTGAAACAATTATACCTCTAAGTTGCTTCTGCTTTGTGGAGTGCACATCCCAAACCACTTCATCTGAAAAGCGCTTGATTGGATTCAGATCTTTGACAGCGGGCACAATTGAAACTGATAAACTCACCACAAACTTTCGAAAGTAGCAGATTTTTGATAAAAAAATCTGCTACTTAAAAAAAAAAAAAAAAAAAAATTGGGGCCTCTTCCAGAAAATTGAAAATGGCATCCAACACAAATGAACTCAAAGCCATCCATTTCCCATAGAATCAACCATATCCTATAAAAAACTGTGAGTTAAGCTGAAAAGAAGGGCTTATAAGAAAAGATCTAAAATTTTGGGCACTCTGGAGTGATTGTGGAAAGTTTAACAAACAATTCTCCATCTGTGGGTTTGTACTTGCAAACTGACAGATTTAGTTATTCAAACATTCGTGGATGTTGATTCATTAAAGTTTTTTGTTTTTTTTTCTCTCTCACAGGAAACGACAACAAATAATGTACAAATTCTATTACACATATTAGTGTTTAAAGGAAACGGGTCATCAATAAGTTTCCTCCATGTTTTATGAATATTTGTTTGAGTCAATGCAGAGTCTCTTTGTTTTCTTTCCCTTTCTGTTAAAGGTGTGGGCCAGCAGCTTCCTGCCCAATGAGCCTGCTGTGTCTGACCGCTGCCAGAGAGCATACTACCAGAAAAACGGAGAGCCGCTGCTGGTGCAGTACGCCAAACAAGAAGCAGAGAAAAAGGTACATGTAAGATAATAAGTGGACATCTTATGTTCTTTCACACTTAGATTGAGTTGCAGTGTCACAAATTACTCTAAGCTTTTCAGCCTAAACAGTTTGACAATTTTATTTTTATTTATTTATTTATTTTTTTACATCTAATGGCTCCTAAAGTACATAAAATCCTCACAATCCAAATGGTAAAACAAGAAGAGCATGCAGGTCACACAGCAGCAGCGATATTCGTTCCACCTTAAGTCAAACATTATTCTGAAAAAAAACATCATGTTTCCTTCAGGGCAATTTCTGAACGACCTTTAAAGGTTTACAAAGATGGAAGCGTCGCTATGGCAATGGTATTTTTCATTTCATTTAAATCAAAATCTTTGCCTCAAAAACATGGATTTTATCTGCATCTTCCAACATTTAATGTAAAGGGGAGTGAAGTGTAAGATAAAGGAAAAAATAAAAGGCTGGATTTGCTTTTAATATTTTTTGGAATCTAACCCTGTAAATTTGTGGGATGTGTAAAAGTAAAATCATCTGATGTTTATCTGACCTGTGTTGTTAAATTAGGGGGTAAATGATGCTGATCATTTTCCCATGCAAATTATTCTAAAAGTGCTTTACTGCATAAAATTATGATTAAAAGATCCCATTTAAATAATGGTACCACAAATCTCACAAATCTCCCTTCATCCCTCTACTTCCACCCTTTTCCTCCTCACCCCCTTTTTTTTTCCCTATTCCATCAGTCTCTTGATTTTCCTTCCTCTGCCTGTCTCCCAGTCAGTGAAGCGTGTGATTGGACGGCATTGATGCTCATTAGCATAATGCTGCAGCGTCCGTCTTCATCCCACCTGAACATTAGGGAAACTGTGTGAGTACATTTAGGGTGCTCACACAGATTTTTAGCGTGTTGCCAAATGTCATATTAGTGAACACTCGCAAAAAAACCTTCTGCATTGGAATTAGACTTGACAATTTGAGGAATATTTTCTCTAACTGTTGGGGAAAGGCTTTTCATTTCATTCTAGCATAACTAACGTTGATTTTTGGCGATGTTGTTCTTGTTGTAGCGTTTTAAAATGTGTTGGCTCTGTAGTAGGCTTTGCTTT